TATATATATATATATATATATATATATATATATATATATATATATATATATATATAATATACACACACACACTCACCGGCCACTTTATTAGGTACACCTGTCCAACTACTCGTTAACGCAAATTTCTAATCAGCCAATCACATGGCAGCAACTCAATACGTTTGGGCATGTAGACATGGTCAAGACAATCTGCTGCAGTTCAAACCGAGCATTAGAATGGGGAAGAAAGGGGATTTAAGTGACTTGGAACGTGGCATGGCTGTTGGTGCCAGACGGGCTGGTCTGAGTATTTCAGAAACTGCTGATCTACTGGGATTTTCACACACAACCATCTCTAGGGTTTACAGAGAATGGTCTGAAAAAGAGGAAATATCCAGTGAGCGGCAGTTCTGTGGGCGCAAATGCCTTGTTTATGCCAGAGGAGAATGGCCAGACTGGTTCCAGCGGATAGAAAGGCAACAGTAACTCAAATAAGCACTTGATACAATTGAGGTCTGCAGAAGAGCATCTCTGAACACACAACACGTCCAACCTTGAGGCGGATGGGCTACAGCAGCAGAAGACCACACCGGGTGCCGCTCCTGTCAGCTAAGAACAGGAAACTGAGGCTACAATTCACACAGACTCACCAAAACTGGACAATAGAAGATTGGAGAAACGTTGCCTGCTCTGATGAGTCTCCATTTCTGCTGACACATTCAGATGGTCGGGTCAAAATTTGGGGTCAACAACATGAAAGCATGGATCCATCCTGCCTTGTATCAACTCAGGCTGGTGGTGGTGGTGTAATGGTGTGGGGGATATTTTCTTGGCACACTTTGGGTCCATTAGTCCCGTGTCAACACCACAGCCTACCTGAGTATTGCTGCTGACCATGTCCATCCCTTTATGACCACAGTGTCCCCATCTTCTGATGGCTACTTCCAGCAGGATAACGCACCATGTCATCTCAGACTGGTTTCTTGATCATGACAATGAGTTCACTGTACTCAATTGGCCTCCACAGTCACCAGAGCTCAATCCAATAGAGCATTTTTGGGATGGGTTTGCCAAACTATTGCATTGTTGCCTCATCATCAAAACCTCAAAAACAAGGAAACATAAAAAACACACATTTAATCATCATTATTATTATTTTATCATTATTATCTTTGTTCATTTAAAGGGTTTTGCTTGAACATCACTTTATTTCCTAAAAAACATGTCTTTTTATGATTGTTTTTCTCTCCCCAGTATTTTCTGATTTATGAAATGATAAAAAGAGACATTTAGTATCTCTGTAAGTTCTGTAAAAATTTGCAAATGAGTGCATGTATAATTAGACAATACATCATTTGCATATTTTGACAAGACATTTGTGACAACCAGCCTATTAGTTAAAACAATAAAAGCACCAGGTTCATATAATCATAAGGGATGTTCAGTCAGTAATATCAACACCAGTTTTGTCTGAGTATTATAATTAAAAAACAATTTTTTTTAAAATTATTTTTAATGCTTTTAAACACATCTGGGGTGCCCAAACAAATGCACAAATGATGGTGTTTTGTATTATTTTTCTTATTATTATGTGCTGAAAAGCATCTCTAATATGATGCTATAATAGCTACACACAAAATACAATAAACCAGTAAGTCATAACATATTTGTAATTTTTTATGTTAATGTTAACTTAATTATGTCAAGTTAATCATGTTTTTAACATTCCTTTGTAATTATACAACTATTTTAAGTGAGTTTAATGCAAGTTAGAATGACTGAAAAGGTTTATTTGCTTCAACTTAAAAATTTAAGGCAAACATTTTTTTTTAAATTAAAATCTTTTAATTAATCCTAGGCCTACAATTGTAGTAAATTCACAGCATAATCCCTTGGCAAAAGTTCTATATTAGTATATTTATGGAAAAAATGTGTTATGCTTTAATGAACCATTATTTTTTTAAAAGTAATTCAATATTCGGACTATTTTCTGTAACTAAAAATTTTGGTAGGACATTGCTTTCCTGTGCAGAAACTGCTCAGCTTCAGTTTAGTAATGATTACTACTTTTCCAGTAAATCAAGATGCCTGTCTTAAAAGCTCAGTTATAGTCATTCATTAATTTTCTTGTCGGCTTAGTCCGTTTATTAATCCGGGGTCACCACAGCGGAATGAACCGCCAACTTATCCAGCAAGTTTTTGGAAACTTGGACAAAACATCCACACACACATTCACTTATACACTATGGACAATTTACCCCACCCAATTCACCTGTACCGCATGTCTTTGGACTGTGGGGGACACCGGAGCACCCGGAGGAAACCCAATGCGAATGCAGGGAGAACATGCAAACTCCACACAGAAACGCCAACTGAGCCGAGGTTCGAACCAGCGACCTTCTTGCTGTGAGGCGACAGCACTACCTACTGTGCCACTGCCTCGGCGCTCAGTGATAGTAATCATTATTATTTTGTTTTGTTGTTTTTTAAAGTAACTCGATATTTAGACTTTTTTGGGACTAAAAAGGAAGTAAAAAGGTTAGTATGATGTTTTTCTTTTAAGAAATTGCACAGCTCTAGTTTAGTAATGGACGCTATCTTAAATCAAAAGTAAATCAAGATGCCTCACTAGAACTCAAAAGCCCAGTCTGATAGTAATTAGACTATTTTCTATGACTAAAAAGGTCGTAAATGGCTTAATACGGCATTATTTTCCTGTTCAGAATCTGCACAGCTCCAGTTTAGTACTGAATACTCTCTTCAAAAGTAGGCCTAAATTAAGAAGCCTCGCTAGTAGAGAAAAGCCCCTTGCTTAGGGTAATTAACCATTAGACTATTTTAAGCAACTAAAAAGGTAGTAAATGGGGTAGTACGACATTATTTTTCCTGTTCAGAATCTGCACAACTCTAGTTTAGCAGCTTAGTGAATACTCTCTTCAACAGTAGGCCTAAATCACGATGCCTCAGTAGTAAAGAAAAGCCCCTCAATAGTAATTAGACTATTTTCAGCGACTAAAAAGGTAGTAAACATGGTTGTATTGCATTATTTACTTGTTCAGAATCCGCACAGCTCTAGTTTAATAATGTATACACTCTTACTTCAACAGTAAATCAAGATGCCTCACAGGTATTCAAAGGCCCGTTGATAGTAATTAATTAAACAATTTCTGTGACTAAAAAGGTAGTAAACGGCTTAATGCTACATTATTTTCCTCTTCAGAATCTGCACAGCTCCAGTTTAGTAATAAATACTGTCTTACTTCAACAGTAAATCAAGATGCCTCACTAGTAGGCTACTCGAAAGCCCCTTGATTGTAATTAGACCTTTTTTTTGTGACTAAAAATGTAGTAAACGGCCTAATGCGACAATATTTTTCTGTTCAGAATCTGCACAGCTCCAATTTAATAATGGATGCCATCTTAATTTAACAATAAATCAAGGTGCCTCACTAGTATTTAAAAGTCCCTTGATAGTAATTAGACTATTTTCTGTGACTGAAAAGGTCGTAAACGGCATAATACAACATTATTTTCCTGTTCAGAATGTGCACAGTTTAAGTTTAGTTAAGGATACTAAACAGGGATACTAAGGGATACACTCTTACTTCAACAGTAAATCAAGATGCCTCACTAGTATTCAAAGGCCCCTTGATAGTAATAAATTAGACAATTTCTCTGACTAAAAATGTTGCAAACGGCTTAATATGACATTATTTTCCTGTTCAGAATCTGCACAGCTCCAGTTTAATAATAAGTACTATCTTCAACAATAAATCAAGATGCCTCCCTAGTATTTAAAAGTCCCTTGATAGTTATTAGAATATTTTTTGGGACTAAAAAGGTAGCAAACGACTTAATACAATATTATTTTCCTGTTCAGAATCTGCACAGCTCCAGTTTAATAATAGATGCTATCTTACTTCAACAGTAAATCAAGATGCCTCACTAGTAGGCTACTTGAAAGCCCATAGAGAGTAGACTATTTTCTGTGGCCTAAAAGGTAGTAAACGGCTTACAACATTATTCTCCTGTTCAGAATCTGCACAGCTCCAGTTTAATAATGGATGCTATTTTAATTCAACAATGAATCAAGGTGCCTCACTAGTATTTAAAAGCCCCTTGACAGTAATTAGACTTTTCTGTGGCCAAAAAGGTAGCCAACGGCTTAATACGACATTATTTTCCTGTTCAGAATCTGCACAGCTCCAGTTTAGAAAGGGATACTAAACAGGGATAGCCTACTAATGGAAACACTCTTACTTCATAAGTAAATCAAGATGTCTCACTAGTACTCAAAAGCCCCTTGATAGTAATTAATTAGACTATTTTATGGGACTAAAAAGGTAGTAAATGGCTTAATACGGCATTATTTTCCTGTTCAGAATCTGCACAGCTCCAGTTTAGTAATAGATACTATCTTATTTCAACAGTAAATCAAGATGCCTCACTAGTAGTCTACTCAAAAGCCCCTAAAGACAGTAATTAACTATTTTCTGTGACTAAAAAGGTAGAAAACGGGTTAATACAGCATTATTTTCCTGTTCAGAATCTGCACAGCTCCAGTTTAGTACTGAATACTCTCTTCACAGTAGGCCTAAATTAAGAAGCCTTGCTAGTAGAGAAAAGCCCCTTGCTTTGGGTAATTAACCATTAGACTATTTTTAGCGACTNAAAAGGTAGTAAACGGCTTAATGCGGCATTATTTTTCTGTTCAGAATCTGCACAGCTCCAGTTTAGTAATGGATACTATCTTATTTCACAGTAAATCAAGATGCCTCACTAGTAGGCTACTCAAAAGCCCCTATAAATAGTAATTAACTATTTTCTGTGACTAAAAAGGTAGTAAACGGGGTAGTACGACACATATTCTCCTGTTCAGAATCTACACAGCTCCAGTTTTGTAAAGGATGCTTTAAGTCAAGATGCCTCACTAGTGCTCAAAAAGCCCCTTGATAGTAAACATACTTTGGCGCAGACGACGCGATGACGTCAGAGGGAGGAGGAGGAGCTGCGCGCGCATCATCATCATCATCACCGACTGTCCGTGAGAGAGAAGCGGCGTCCTCAAACTTTTCCCAGAGTTAATGACATAAATCAGGTAAAGTGCTGTTTTTATCTTCACTGCTGTCTGTGGATGTTAACCGACTGTTCAAAACTTCCCGAAACACCTTCAGAGGCTCGTAAGTGAAGTTTATAATTTGTTACGCGGTGTTTATTTCGTTATTCGGGATCTCAGGTTAAACGGGAATATGCCGAGGCTTGTCCGCTTCTCTGATATTGATATAAGCGCTGTTTTCCGAGTGGATTTGGGTTATAAAGTGATAAAATGTAGACTGGAAACTTTTGTAGACGTGTGGTTGGATTTTTGGCGTGTCCTGATGGGATCATCTCCTCATGTTGTGGGATATCTGGTTCATTGAGATTCACTTATGGGGATGTAGCGTTATGGATGGTAGTTGGAAGCTGATCATGACATGAGGAACGCTGAGATATAACATGATTTGTCATGTAATTTATATGAGCTTTTTGACTATGCAGCTTTTTAAAAAAGGCTTTATTAACAAGAACAAGTATGTAGAGTTTCATTAAAGTAGTTCCCATGCGTTAACAACAAGCATTCAACAAGAGAATAAAGAAAATACATTAAACAAAAAAGAAAGAGAGAGTACATACTTATCAATTAAAATACAGATATATTATAAAGTGTATATTGTGGGATTTCTGATTCATTGAGATAAATTTTTTTTGGGGGGGGGGGGGGGGATGTAACGTTATGAATGGCAGTTGGAAGCATCATTGTCGTTACAAGGATCCTGACATAAGTAATGTTGACATGTGACATGACTATTTATGCTTTTTTATAGAGGTAAAGTTGGTTTTATATTAGCACATTCGTTCATTTAGAAGTCCCTATATTGTTAACCATGTTACTTTGACTATTCGACCGGAATTAGCATGCAAGTGTGGTTTAAAAACAACATTAACACTGTTTATTTGACTGTGAACTATGTTGTACTTTGATAGTCACTGGCTGCTAATATGATTTTGCTATTTAGAGTTTGCAAATAATAATTTTATGAAATTATATTATTAAGGGGAAAGTCTGAATGTGCAAATATAAAACCGACTTTACCTCTATAGCTTTTTTGAGGTATACAGTTTTTATGCTTTATTAACAACAACAAGCATGTATAGTTTGATAAAATGTATTTCACATGCTTTAACTACAGGGATTAAACAAGAGAAAAAATAAAATAAAAAAGGAAGAGAGGGTACATACTCATCAATTAACAGGCAAACATATTATAAAATGTGTATTGTGGGATTTCTGATTTATTTTTAGGGAGGTAACGTTATGGATGACAGTAGGAATCATCATTGTTACAAATTACAATGATCGTGACGTTTACATCTAATGTGATTTTTCATGTAAATTATGAGCTTTTTTTTAGAGCTATACAGTGTTTTATGCTTTATTAACAAGAACAAGCATGTATAGTTTCATTAAAAGCATTTCACATGCTATAACAGCAGGAATTAAACATGAGATGAAATAAAATAACATAAATTAATTAGAAAAGAAAAAGAGAGTACATACTCATCAATTAACATACAAATATATTATAAAGTGTATATTGTGGGATTTCTAATTTATAAGGATTATTTTTTGTGTGTGCATGTAACGTTATGGATTTCAGTTGGTAACATCGTTATAATGTATACACTGATCATGACATGAGTGACGTCGAGATATAACATGACTTTTCATGTATTTTATATGTTTTTTTGGACTATACAGCTTTTTAAAAATACTTTATTAACAAGGACAAGCATTTTAAAGTTTCATTATACACCAAAAGTATTTCGCATGCTTCAACAACGAGGATTATACAAGAGAAGAAATGAAATATAAAATAAAAGAAGAACAGGTACATACTCATCTATTAACATACAAATATAATGTTAAATACATTGTGGGATATCCGATTCATTAAGATTAATTTTTGGGGATGTAACGTTATGGATGAGAGTTACGCATCATTACACTGATCATGACATGAGTAACGTTGACATATATCATGATTTTCATGTAATTTATATGTTTTTTGATGGCTTTTGTGTGCTTTATTAGCAATACCAAGCATTGTACAGTTTCATTATACAGCAACAGTATTTCACATGCTTTAACACCAAGGTTTAACAACAAGAAAAGAGAAAAATAGATAAAATAAAAAAAATTAGGAGAGAGTACATACTCCTCAATTAACATACAAATATATTATAAAGTATATATTGTGAGATTTTTTTGGGGATGTAACTATATGGATGGCAGTTGGAAGCATCATTAATGTTACAGTGATCATGACATGAGTAATGTTGACATCTAACATGACATTTACATCTAATATGTTTTTTAAACTATATAGTGTTTATGCTTTAATAACAAAAACAAGCATATATAGTTTAATTAAAAGTATTTCACATGCTTTAACAACAATGATTAAACAAGAAGAAATGAAATAAATAAATCAAAAATAAAGAGAGGGTTCATACTCATCAATTAACATACACATATATTATAAAGTGTAAATTGTTGGATTTCTGATTCATTGAGATTCATTATTCTTGGGATGTAACCTTATGGATGGCTGTTGGAAGCATCATTACACTGATCATGACATGATTTACATATAATTTATATGTTTTTTTGGACTATACAGCTTTTAAAAATACTTTATTAACAAGAACAAACATGCACAGTTTCATTATTCACCAAAAGTGTTTCACATGTGCTAACAACAATGATTAAACAAGAGAAGAAATAAAATAAAAGAAAGAAATAGATAAATGAAAGAAAGAGAGGGTGCATGCTAATAAATTAACATATAAATGTATTGTACATTTTTACATTTTCAATTTCTGTAAAAATAAAATGCACTTAACACCAGAAATATACATTTATATAAGCATTTTATATAAAAAATTGTTATAGGTGGAACATAAGTTATTTGTTTTAACTCCTTTTCTATTTTTAGACGTAAAAATTACATTTATAAACGTTATAATCTCTTTTTTTAAGCACGATAAAGTCTGGGTTTTTTTTTGTGAACTTTCATTTGCATGAGTGTTATTCAACGGTGGGAAGATTTTTTTTGTTTACAACACATTTTTAAAACAATAGTTCTAAGAAATCATTTATTTGATCTTTTCCATGATGGCAGTACACAATTTTACTACTTATTTTGCACAATACTAGTATTTAGTTCAAAGTGCAATTAAAAGGCTTAACTAAGTAAATTTGGGGTGCTAATTTGCCCAACATGGCGTTTATGTGTGGAGTTTACATGTTTTCCCTGCGTTCGTGTTGGTTTCCCCCACAGTCCAAAGACATGCGGTACAGTTGAATTGGGTAGGCTAAATTTTCTGTAGTGTTTGAGTGTGTGTATTAATGAGTGTGTGTGGATATTTCCCAGAGATGGGTTATGGCTGGAAGGGCATCCGCTGCGTAAAAACGTGCTGGATAAGTTAGTGGTTCATTCCACTGTGGCGACCCTGGATTAATAAAGGGACTAAGCCGACAAGAAAATGAATGAATATGCCCAACATGCTCGGATAAGTCATTGGACAGCAGTGGTTTGTTCTGCAGCCAATCAGAGCTAATATTATTGACCTTAGCAGCTACACTTTTATTAACATTCCAGACAAACTAAAAGAAAAATGGCTTTCTCCAGAAGAAAAAATATAATAAAAAATACTTGGACAATGTTCACTCCTGTAAAACATCACTTGGAAGCTATTTGCAAGAATAGGCCTGTCACAGTAATCAATATATGCACTTATCGCACAACACATGGACGTGATCTCAATCATTTTTGGTGCTGCAATATTCATCGCCCATACATAAAATTTTTTTAGCAACATTTTAGCTGATTGTGCAGCATCTCTATCTCTATTGGAGGTGTCAGTATGGTTAAAAATCACTATAATATTTACTATTACTATAGTATATGTTCATGTGGGTGTCTGACAACTGAAAATAGATCTGGCAGCAGATATCGCAGCCTCTGTTACTTTTTTGTTAACATTTATTGTAATTCATTTGTTTAGGATATTCGTTTTCACATTCTGATTCCAATACCTCATTATTGAATTGTTATAATGACTATAATTAAATTAAAATATTTTTAAACATAAAATATTACATGTTCTTTGGAAGAGCGATGATATTATGTTGTCATTCTGGCATTATATAATGAGTGGCATAAAATTGTCTTAAAATGACAATAATATCATTTATCACAATATAATTTTTCACAATATATTTTAAATCGTACTACAAAAATAGATATCGTGACAGGCCTATGAATGAATATAAACATTGCAAGAGGGCACAAACTTTTGTTTTGTGATGTAAAAAGTAACCTTCATTCATCGATTTAAATACTTTGGACCAGTGGTTCTCAAACGTTTTGCTGTGTGCACCCCTTTCTAATATTTGACACCTGTCAAGCTTCCCTTACCCGATTAAACTCCACATTTTCAAATACATTAACTAAATAAAAATAATAAAATACGTGAATTTAATGGACGAGCTTTAATAAAGTTGACAATTTTCACAGCGTCATTAAGTACAGACAAAAGTTCATCTGGCATGTTTTTCACCGCTAGCGCTTCTTGGTGGATGCTGCAGTGTACCCAGGAAACCGATGGTGCAACCTTTCGGATGAAAGCCACTGCTCCTTTGTGCCTCCTTTTTTCTTCTTCTGCAGTACCTCCAATATTCCTTGAAAAAAACATTCAGGCCTGTCTTGTATGTGGCTGTGACTTGTTTGTAAGTGCCGGACCCTATGTGAGGGCTTAAGACTGCTATTAGCTAAAACTTCACCATAAACTACACATTGCAGATTTGGATTTTTCTGCATCTCCAATCCATGTAAACACGAAACCAATGGAACTGTCGCTATATTTAAGTTTTTTACTTGACATTTTCTCACTCTCTATCATAGGCCTAATTCTCTTCATCAGTACATCTCCTCTGGATTTCTCTGTTTGGCAGCGCCTCTTTACCTAGTTCATATTGACCTTATTCTAAAATGCGGAAGTGCGCCTGTTTTCGCGATTGTCTTAGAACTTTCGATTCAGTCGCCTATGGGAGAAATGACAAGGAATAATAAACGGC